TCTAGCTTTGCTAAGAATCCAGCGGCCGCTGCGCATACACGACATGGCTATCCGCCTCGTCAGCCGAATACAAAAGCGAGTAGGAAAAAAAAAAACCGAAGGCCAACTCACAAGTTATGCTGCGCCTGCATCCTCGGGTCCCTCAGCTCCTTCCTCACATCCACAAGCAACACCTGCACCTCCTCAGGGCTCCACCTCCTTACCGTGGTCAGAATCCTCAAGCTAATAGCCTCGAGGCCGTCGAGAAACTGGACGAGGTCGAAGGCGCCGATCTCCTTGAGCCGTTTGTTCTTGGGCCAGGTCCCCACAGGGATGGGCAGCAGCTTGTGCGACACATTTTCGAAGCCGGCGTCTCTGATCCAGCCTTCGAGCAGCGGGCCGGGCTCGGGCTCTAGCCCGAAGGATCGGATGCCTGCGATTATCTCCGCTGACCATCGGTCCATGGCGCAGCCCGGGCGGAACTCGCCCGAGGTGGTGTAGAAGCGCATGTCGAAGTCTTGGAACTCGACCCAGCCGCCGGGCTTGGTGAAGCTGGGGGACCGTCTTAGCCATCGTCTTTCTCGCCCCCTGTTTGTTATGCTGGCTTCTGAGGAAAGCGGGATCTTACCGGTACGCTTGCTGCAGCAGCCGCGGCCAGTCCTTGAGAGAGCCGGCCAGGTACCGCGCGTGGATGTAGTCGAAGGGCGCGCTGAATACCCACTCGTTCTCGATGTCGTCGACCTCGAAGCGCACGTTGGGGGGCACGAGCGAGGGCTGGATCGGGCTGAGGTCGTTGCCGAGCACGTCGGCTGAGGGGTATGTGTCGCCTGTGGCGGCTTTGCTTAACTTCCTGGCACTACTTGGGCAGGCTGGCGCGCTGGTTTTGGGGGGGGGGGGGGGGGGGATGGCAAGGGGAGAGGAGAAGAAGGGGAGGGAAGAGGCGGGTTTACCCATCTCAATGGCCCAGATGCCCGTCCCGGTCCCCAGGTCAAGCATGCGTTGAGGGTTATCCCCAATGGGCGCATAGTGCAGCTTCCCTTCGCAGCGCAGCGTCAAGCAGTGGTGGAAGAGGTCGAGACGGTCGTTTTCGTCCTCGTCGTTGGGGAGGTAGTACGACCCATCCTTGAAGGAATGGTATCGGCGGCCGTTCTCGTACTTGTAGCTCGTGATGCTGGACTTCAGGGACGTGGTGATGGACTGCGCGGATTCGGCGTAGGCGGAGTCGTTGTCGTCTGTGCCGACCTGGGAGGCGGGCGGGTGGTTAGCGTGAGGATAGGAGGGCTGGGCTGCCGACAATGGTACGAGTTGCTGACCTCTTCCGCTTCAATCTGGAGGTCGCTGGTCGTGGTGTCGGGCGCGGCCTCGACTACGGGACCAACATCGCCGACATCGTCATGTGGTGACTTGGGATGCTGTTGTGGATTATTCGCGGACGGAGCTAGAGCTGCGGCTGGCCCCGCGTCTCGACCTGCAGCGGGAGACGCCATGGCCGGGTGTTCTGACTCGCAAAGTAATTCTACGGGCGCTTATTCTGGTTCCAAGAAGGCTCTTGTAAGGCGACTAGCAACTAGCAATGGGACGACTTTGGAGAAAAGAGGCAGCGAAAGACGTGAAGGAAAGCAGAGTAGAATGCAACAGCTCAGCCGTTCCCAGCGACATGGACGAGACGCGCGAGCTAGAGGATTAATATGCATCGCCTGAGGGTGTCACCAAACACAAACCGCTGGCTGTCAGGCCTTCCCAGGCTGCACCTCTGCGGCGTGAATGTGGACGCATGAAACCTCTTCGGGAGTGCCGTCCAGCGTTGCCAGGATGTCCCGACCTGTTGTGCTGCTGCGCTGGATGGCGACACATGCGCCGCGGCAGCGACGTTAGCCGCATCAGCTGCGCTGACAGCTCACCGTGCCACAGACACCACCTTTGACAGCTACTAGTGCTCGAGCATGAAAGTTGCCCAGTGTTGACAGTCGACAACCCTCAGAGACTGGAGGTAGCGATAAGCGCGAGCTGCCGCTCTCGCCGCCTGCGGGGAAGCGGCCCGCATCAGCACGCGTCGTTAGCCTCAGCGAACCGCCCATCAAGCAAGGGACAACAACCAGCACGATGGTGGCAGCCGGGGACGACAGGCCTGCCATTGACGGACTGCAGTGCGACAATGCATGTGCCTGCAGAAGGATTCCACCCCTCTTGCTTGGCCTCCGATGGGGTGTGCGAACTGACGATAAAGCTAAGGCCGTTGGTTACGTACGGGGCGGATGCTCCACCGCGTGGGGATTATGTATATGCGGGAGGGGGATGTGTCCCTGAAGGGTCTTTTGAGAATTTCCAGGTTCGCTTCTCTGCAGCTTCGTTCTTCTGTGAGGATATCGTCTGTGTATCGGCAGAATGTTTGGTTACTGGCTCCCAGCGGCCGCTGTGCTGCTGGTGTTGTATATTGTCGGGGGAGCAATTTACCGCCTGTTCTTTCACCCTCTCGCGAAGTTCCCCGGGCCCAAGTTGGCGGCGGTGACGGTGTGGTATGAAGCCTACTACGATGTGGTTGGGAAAGGACAATATATCTTTAAGTTGAAGGAGTTGCATGACAAGTACGGTAGGGCCGCCCAGGGATTTCAGGATGAGAGCTTTGGATGCACGCCTCATATTAGACACTTTATGAATTGGTTCACCACCACGCGTTGCACATAAACAACCTGTCTCCATGATTTCATTCTTCTAGACACAGTACCCGGTGCTGAATACACCTCCCCTAGGTCCCATCATCCGCATCAACCCCAACGAGCTCCACATCCGCGACCCCGACTACTACGACACGCTCTACAACCAGACGAACCGCCTCGACAAATCTGACTACTTCTACCGCATGCTCGGCAACCCCTACGCCCTCTTCAACACCAGCCCCGCCTCCCTCCACCGCATCCGGCGCTCCGCCCTAAACCCCTTCTTCTCCGCCCAGGTAATCTCCCGCTTCCGGCCGCACCTCCAACACGCGACAGACCGCCTCTGCGAACGCATGGCCGCCTGCGCCGAGCACGACGAAGTGATCCCGCTCTTCTACGCCTACCGCTGCCTCACCGTCGACATCATCTCCGAGTTCGTGTTTGGCTCCCAGCTCGGGCTCCTCGACCGCGAGGACTGGGGCCGTGCGTTCTACGCCGCGTATCGCAGCCTGTGGGATCTGTCGCCGCTGATCCGGCAGTTCCCGATCATCATGACGGCCGCGATGGCGATGCCGCGCTGGATGACGGCCGTGCTGAACCCGAAGGCGCTCGAGGTTGTCGATATGTTTGCGGCGGTCGACGAGGAGACGCTGAAGTTGCTGAGGAGCGATCCCGCGGAGGTCGAGAAGAAGCCGTATCCGGTTGTCATGTGGGAGCTCGCGAAGAGCGAGGTCACGCCGCCGGAGGAAAAGCGGTTCGAGGTGCTGACGCTGCAGGCGAATGGGCTGTTGTCGGCCGGGTTCGAGACGACGGGCGCGGCGCTGGCGCACATGACGTATTGTGTTCTGGCGAATCCGAAAACGCAGCTGAAGCTTGTGAGGGAGCTTGAGGAGGCGATCCCGGATCCCGGGAACGTCCCTAGCTGGCAGGTCCTCGAGAAGCTGCCCTACCTCTCCAGCGTCGTAAAGGAGGGACTGCGGTGCGTGCATTTCTTTCCTTCTCTTAAGTCGTGCCGTGACACTAACCACACCACCCCCCAGCCTCACCATCGGCGCCGTATCCCGTCTCCCCCGCATCAACCGCACCGACTACATGCGCTACAAGGAATGGCAAATCCCGCCCAACACCGCCGTCGGCATGGCCGCCCTCTACGTCGTGAAGAACCCGGACGTCTTCCACGATCCCGAGGCGTTTATTCCAGAGCGGTGGCTCGAGCCTGATGCGAAGGAGCTGGAGCGTCACCTTGTCGTCTTCAGTAAGGGGACACGCTCGTGCATCGGGATTAACCTCGCGTATGCGGAGCTGTATAGCGTCATGGCGACGATGTTTAGGCGGTTTCCGAACTTGGAGCTGTTCGAGACGACGGATGAGGATATGGAGGTGAGTGTCGTTGGTCCCAGATGCCGAGGCCGCGCGGTTGCTGATAATCCAATAGGGTGTACATGACTACTTCGCTCCCATGGTCAGGAGTGGTGACAAAGGGTTGAAGGTAAAGGTGGGGAGATCTGAGAAGGCGCAGTAGTAATACCCAGAAGACGGATGGGTCATGTGGGGCGCAGAATTGAGTAGGGCCATGTTCCAGTGGATATCCGTTGCAGCGGTTGCTTTATGCCTGTTGGCGGCCATATTGTATCTCTTGTGGTCCTGAGCTGCAGTAAAACCGAAATCTTTTGTCGGGAACGTCTTGCTAACAACCAAGGGACTCAGTATCCACCCAGTAGTTCTTCACCTTCTGTGACATAGAGAGCCCTCTTCCAAAAACACCGTTCCGCACGCCGGCAGGCCTCCAGCTTGCGTAGCAACTGTCACCAAAAATCTCTGTAGCGAACAGCCAGTCGTGCGCCGGGTTGTTTCAATCCGTACTCCAGCCTCTCCAGCCCTCGTTTCCGATGGGTTTCCATGTTCACAGCAGCTCAATTCTTCATGGCCACACAAGAGACTTGTCAGACTTTTTCCGCTCTCACTCCCCATCCCTGACGACCTCACAAACCGCCTCCAACTCCCTCCTGACAGCCTTAACCCCCTCCTTAACCGCCTTCTCCGGAATTTTAATCTCCACCCTCTCTCCCGCCTCCCCGTCTCCGTTCTCCCCACCATGCCCATTAAACCCGTTCTGGCCCCCTGCGTCCCCTCGCGCTTCCCGTAGCACTCGCGCCATCAGCTCCTCGTACGTCGCGCAGTCCCCATTGCGTAGAAGTTGCGCGATACGAGTGCGCAGGGCGGTTGTCCAGCCGGCTGCGGCGAGTTCGTGGGAGATGGCGGATTGGATTCGGGGGACCGCGGCGGGTTGGGCCAGGAGCGCGGAGAGGAGCGTGCTGTGGAGGGTCGGGGGGAGGGGGACGGGGGTGCTGGTTGCGGGAAGGGTGATTTTGTTTGAGTGGGTTGGAGTGGCTGTCATTGTGGTGTTGCGCAGGGGGGACGTCGGTGGTGCGGTAGAGGTGGGATGAGCAGATTGCGACTTGAATTGGACTTATGGGAGATTAAGGTAGCTATGAGGTGGGCGAGTTCCCTGTTGGACGATGTTGGCGGAAGCGATGTCGAGGAAGGGTTCAAGTGGGTGCGAACAGAGTTGCGGAGGTGCTTTCAGTTCGTAGACGTCGTGAGTCGTGAAACCCAATGGTTACTACGCCGCTTGACAGAAGCAAGTTTGGCACAGCTGTCCAAATCAGGGGCTTATTCAGTTGTCTCTTCTCTGGCCGGCTTCCAGGAGTGATCCTTGAGCTCTGGGGTTGATCTCTTGAAGGGTGATTGACCGAGTCTGGAGCGTACTGTAACGTAGATTACCTAAGCGTGTAAAGAAATGATGAGGCCCTTGATGCGAGACGAAGCTCGGAGGCTGAGCGGAGAGACTGCACGACCGCAACACCAGCACACACCAGCACACACCAGCACACACAAGACCACAACACACTCCGCTGTTGCCACTGTTCTCGCCACAACGCCCTCTTCGCTGCCAGCTCCCGCCGTCAAGACGACCAGTACACCGTCTATGCGCTCCCGCAGCTGCAGCTTTGCCAGCATCGACAATTAAGCTCCCACAACACCACCGGTACACTTGCGACCCACCTCGATGGGACGCTGCACAACACCCTGCATCTGCCTTGGATAGAGCCCGAGAACTCTCTGGCACCATCTGCTCCATCTCCCGCCGCCGGCCCCTGTGATCCACGCCGGCAAGCCTCACCATCCTCGCTTCCGTCTCAGGATCCCTGCCAGTACCGAGAACCACGGCAAGGCGGGCCTGATATCGAGCCCTACGATAACCGCCCCGACCCCTCTTCAGCGACAGTAGAACCACAAGAGTGCGAGAAGATTGGCAACAGCAAAGCGCAAGCATGGCATACAAGCCTACATACCACGAGGACTCGGACGCCGACGACGAGTATGAGCGCAGCGTCTTCACCTCTCCAACCTTGCCCGCAGACTTCGAGTCCTCGCCCACGGACTCGGGACCACCCTCCACAGAGCATACGCCGACCACATTTACACATTCTGGGGAGAGCCATGGCTCGCCAACCGGCGTCATAACCCAGTGGACGGCGGGGCAGTGTGCGGATTTCATAACTAGTTTGGGACTGGGACAGTACGCGGACAACTTCATAGGTAGGTTGGGTGGTGGCGGTAACGGGTTGGTGCACCATGAACTGACAGCATGGTTTATAGAGGAGGGCGTTACTGGCGAGGAGTTGATTGTGCTGCAGCACGCAGATCTGAAAGAGATGGGCGTGAGCAGCGTGGGCCACCGCCTTACCATCCTGGGGCGTGTGTACGAGGCGAAAGTCAAACACAATGTGCGCATAGAACCGGACCACTACGTACCCCTCTGTACGTGCCTCTACATTCCCGGCCCTACAGTACAATTGAGAGCTGTGGAGACTGACAAATCGCAGCCGCCGATGCAGCCGCTCAGGAGCTAGCGCCCACTCAAGATGATATCGCTCGTATCATCCGCATCATAGAGGATCGAGACAAGAGAATACACAGCGCAGAGGCAGAGTTGCGAATTCTGAAAGAAGACCTAACCCGAGTTGCCGAAGAGAACCGAAAGCTGCGAGAAGACCATCTGACAGTAGCACGAATGGTCAAGGACCGATCTCAGCCCCTGCCAACACCGGATCGAGGAGACGAGGAACAAACGAAGGAGCGAAGCGGAACCGGCCTCTCGCGAAAATTCTCCACCAAGAACTTCTTCCTCAGCGGCTCCGGCCCCAAGCAGCCTTCGCCCACCATCCACGAAGGCCGCACTCTAACCGACAGCTCCTCCCTGGACCCCTCCGCCGCCGCACTGGCCGCCTCGTCGCACCTTACCGCCTCGATAAGCGGCGGGGTCCCACCCGCAACTACACCGCACACACACACTCACGCGCAGCCGTCGCCAACCTCGCCCGCCTACAACACAACATCCGCGTCCGCACAGTCTCGCTCTTTCCCCCGAGATGGCCCGGCCTCGCGCTCGCACACAGCGGACGACTACAACAGCTACACCTCGAGCTACTCGAACGCCTCGACGCTTATCGGAGACCGCGAAACCCGCGACCTGCGTACCGCGACCCCGGCGCCGCTCTCCTCGCGGCCCCTTCGCAGCGCCAACACCTCCACCACCGCCGGCAACAGCGGACCCACATCCGCGCCCACAGACGCGGCCCCCGACCCGCCCAACTCCGGCGGCCTCGGCCCACCAGCCCCCTACTCCTCCGCAGCCTCGATCGCGCCCTCGACAGCCACAAACCCGCAAGTCGAGATCTTCAAGTCGTTCCGCGTGTCCATCGATGACCCGTGCCACAAGGTCCTCCCCGTCGCGCTCAAGAAATACAACATCACGGCCGACTGGCGCCAGTATGCGCTCTACATTGTGCACGGCGACCAGGAGCGGTGTCTAGGATTGAACGAGAGGCCGTTGATTCTGTTCAAGCAGCTGGATAAGGAGGGCAGGAAGCCGATGTTTATGTTGCGGAAACATGCGAGTCCGATGGACGTCGGGCATGTGAGTACGATTGCCGGGGGTGGGGGCGGTGGCGGGGTGGTTAATTTGCCGGGGGGTGTGCTGTAGAGAGTCCATCTTCACACATGGGAAGACCATGACGCTATTCCACTGGCGCGTATTGTCGTTGTGCATGATTGGCTGCTGGGTAAGCCCGTCTTGCGACTTGGCTGGGCGAGCGGAGAGGGTCAGATTTGCTGATTTACGGATTACGAGCGGGCAAACATGGAGGCCGACTAGGTATCAGGGAAACGAGGGCGGAACACGAGACGAATGTGATGGATTGGTTCATGCGTATACAACGTAGGGAAGAATTTTTTCAAGGCCGCCCATGATAAATGCAGAGACGAATGCAAAGGCAGAGGAAAATCAACGATCAACAAGGCCCCGTTGGGGTAAAATGATATTACGAATACGCTAGCATCAACACATGCTCAACTCTTGACACCGCGTACACAGCTCCCAGACCCCGGAAAGGATAGTTCCCATGCAAACGCCAATGCTTCAGACGCCCAATTGCACAACTCCTACACCCCCAAAACCATTACAGATTCGTCTAACCCACAGGCACGCGCCCCGTCAATACCGCTCAGTCCCACCCCAGTGCGAGCTCCGACTGCCCGGCTGGTCCAGGCTCCACTTGTACGAGTCCGTGTCGTAGACGGTGGCTCTGCGGTCGTCGTCGGCGGTGCCGGGGGGCAGCAGCAGCTCCTTGACTTCCCAGTTGTTCTGCTTGGTGCCGACGCTGAACTCAAGGTCTTCGCCTGTGATGGAATCCCAGTACTGGAGAGCGTTGGTGTTAGTGCTGCGGTCAGAGATGTGCAGAGGAGAGAGAAGGATAGATAAAGGAAGAGTGAGAGAAAAGTAGGGGTGGGAGTACGGGTACGGCTTACCTTGTATACCATCATAACCGCCAACAGGTTGCAAATCGTCGCAAAGAACAGCCCATCCAGGTAATGCTGCACGCCGTTGCAGATCGTATCGCTAAACACGTAGAGGATGACCTGCCCAATCACGAAGAAGAAAACCCCAAACCCGATGTCCCCCAGCGGCCACCGGTCCTGCAGCGTGTTGGCCACAAGCAGCACCTGCATAACCACATAGACCAGCAAAAAGATCCCGTTGAAGAGATACAGCACCACAAACAGGCCGACTGTGTTCCGCGGCCCCAGTCCCGCCCACCCCTTAAACGTGAGCAATGAGACCGCGCCGCTGATGACGAACATGCCGAGCGAGCAGAGGCGCAGCAGCCACACGCTCAGCGTGGTGCCGTCTTCGTACAGCTGGAAGCCGACGAAGCCGTTGATGAGGAGGCAGGTGCAGAGCGCGGAGGCGAGGCCGTTTTGCGCGGAGGCGAAGTAGGGGAAGGCGCTGCTGCCGGGGGGCACGACACCGGAGTCGAGGAGGAGGGAGCAGAGGGTTAGGAGGAGGTAGAGGTAGAAGAAGGTGGTGATTTCTTTGCGGCCTGGGTGTTGCGATTGCGGTCAGTGTTAGGTCCTCTCTGAGTAGGGACGAGGGGGCGGTTGGGGGAGGGACAAACGCACCGACAGCGGTGAACTTGGACCGCACGTGTATGATCATGATGGCCGTCATGATGAGCGCGAGGATGTGCATGAAGTCTGTTGCGCCGTTGAAGATTATCGTGTTTGCGAGCTCAATCGTCCGAGAGTAGCATGTTGGCTGTATGCCTGCGACGCCGGTGATGGCGGACGGAGGGCCCACGAGGGCGCAGAGCGGGATGGCAGTCTTTTCGCATATTGTCGAGAAGTCCCCGAAGCCCATGATGGCGTGGTCGTGGGTGGTCGTGGGGGGTCGAATAGGACTGATGAGGCGGCGAGGAGGGTTGCGGGTTGCGGTCTTTCAGGGCGGCGCAGCCGCAGTCTCGAGGAGACGCTCCGCTACGGATGCGAGATTAGGGCGATGTCCGGTTGTTGGTAACGATCGTTGGGTATGATTATGCAACTGGAAGTAATAGTCTTTGTTTGCGTCGAAATGTTGCGCTCCGCCTTCTTGAAGCCCAGGCAGGGACGGCCCGGCAAAACAGCCACGTCGTGCCCAAAAATACCCCGACTCCAACCATGAACATCACGCTTCGACACTGGTGCGAAGTTTCTCTAAATCAATACTAGCTCGTTTGTGTGATTAAGCAATGTAGAAAGCACTCTATAAAGCTTATGATCGGCTATGCAGACCAGATTTAGTGACGTTCAATCGGTGGTAAGGGGTCGAATTTCTATGCTTTTGAGCCTTGGAGTCGGCGTTATTTTGGCCACAACGTGACAGCCACCCCGTTTCGCCAACCAGACCTCGACAACACCAACCGAGCCATGAGTCCATTGTCCGCCAGCCTTGCCATGTACATGCTGTAGGCACGTAGGAGGCACTGTTCCTGGTGCCATGTGACTCGTGGCAGTGCTTCTGCCTGTCTTTCTCTCACTTTTTCTCTCAAACGCGTTTTTCAGCTCACCGTGGCCGTAACTGTTCGACTATTTTTTCGTAATGAGCATGACTCTCCAACCAAGCCTGAGTGTGCCATTCTGCTATCATTCCACTGTTAAAAACCAGGTCACTGCAAGAATACTCTCGCAGCCGCTGGGAAGACCTCCGTTCACCTGCATCACTTAATACCTGAGGCAGCCGTTGCGATCCAGCAGCAGCACGTTACACCTCTCAAGTACTTCTGGAGTCTAAGAGTTCTTTCCTATTCTCGTACGCCTGACAACCAATCCAGATTGGCCGCGTTTACCCATAATAAACGATGGCATGCCCGATCTGCATGGATTTGGACTCCCAAGACTGTAAAGACGGATACGAAGGGTTCGAGTTTCCGAGAATGCTTATCGACCTGCGTAAACTCCGCGAGGCCCGGAGCCCTCGGTGTCCATTTTGCTCTTTCCTGCTTCAGGTCGTCAACCATTTCGCTGTCCATGCTGAGTTCGCTATCTTTGAGTTCCCTCCAGATCAACCCATTCGAATGAGTCTATTCGGCAATCCCTCGCACGGTTTCAAGTACCTCCTCCGCATATTTGCTCCTCGATGTAAGTTTACAGAACATTAGCCGCATGGCAAGTTGATGCTAATTGCTCGGGAAGCCTCAAGAATACCCTTCTGGAACAGTGTATGCACTGCATCCGAACAGCCAGCCTACCTTGGGTCTGATGAAACGGTTCGCTATATTAAGGCATGCATGACTCGATGTTCGTCACGTCATAGCCAGCTGTGCTCAGTTCCTGAGCGTTCTGCTTTTCCTACGCGGACTCTAAATCTCGAAAGCAAAGCTATCAGACTCAACCAGCATAATTCTACCGAAGGGAGATACGCCGCACTAAGCCACTGCTGGGGCGGCGCCCAGCCTTTGCGACTGACTCAAGATTCGTTAGAGCAATTCGAAACAGGAATCGCGTGGGAAGCGTTGCCTGAAGTCTTTCAAGACGCTATTAGAGTGACCCGCGCTCTTGATATAAGCCACCTATGGATTGATGCACTCTGTATTATACAGGACAACCAGAGTGATTGGGAAAGGGAAGCCGCTAGGATGAGCGAATATTACCGAAACGCGTATTTGACTATCGCGGCCTCATCATCGGCGAATTCGAGGCAACGCTTTTTAAAGGATCGCGATAAGGCGTGGAAGCCGGTGGATTTCCACGTCCAATCCCCTATGGACGATGGCAAGGCCTATGCTGTCCGCGTCCAACCATTGCGAGCGGGTACTCTCGACCTGATCACCCGGCCATTATCGACACGAGGATGGACTTTCCAAGAGAACGTCATCAGCAAGCGTGTCGTCCACTTCACAAACGACTACGTCATATGGGAATGCAGAGGCTGTGTTGAATCAGACGGGAGGCAGTACTATGCCAGCTACGAACCCCTAGCTGGCAAACTCGAAGGGATAAATACAGATACAAATATCTATAGCGGTTGGCATAGAATGGTGGAGAAGTATTCTCAACGGCATTTGACTTACGCCACCGACAAGCTGCCAGCTTTGAGCGGCATAGCGGCAGTCTACCACGACGTTATAAGATCGGCTTATCTTGCGGGATTATGGCGCGACAATCTCTTATACGACCTTCTTTGGCGCTCTAAACAAGGGGCCGAGTCGGCCGACAGACCTTGCAGAGTCGATGGCGTGGCACCTTCATGGTCGTGGGCTTCAATTGACAGTGGTGTCGTCTTCGATTTCGCCTTTGATGATGTTGAGCCTGAAGCCTCCGTCGTTGATGCACAATGCACAGTTCCTGGTCTAAATCAATTCGGCACAGTCATGAATGGCGTTGCAACTATCACCGGGCGCGTTGTGCGTGCAACAATCGTGTGTCCAGACCCTTCAGTTGGCAAAGAATACCTCATCATGATCTACTTAGGGCGACTAGTCGAACGGGCTTTCCCTGATACCAGGCTTGAGGGGTATGAGACCGTCCTCGGACCATCAGTACGAAGAGCTCAAGGAGAAGCAGAGCCCCTTCCATTTGAAGCACCTGTGCTGTGTCTGCAAATGGTTACGAGTGTTCGCGGTAATTTTACTTATGGTCTCATTCTCACCCCATCAAAGTCTCGATCAGGCGTTTACAAGCGGATTGGCTGTTGTTATCTGCGAGGCGATTGGTTTCGTGGAGGAAATTTGGAGACGATAGACCTGATCTAAGAATAAGGGTAACGCGGCATCACTTGCCGAATTCTGTCGCCATAACCCTACGCTTTGAAGTCAAGAAGAGCCGACTCATCCGTGTAGCTACAGACTTCTCCCAAGCCACCATGGTTCCTGGACCTGCCTTCCGTTCCATTGTCTGCTCCCAAAGACCATCCGTCTCCGGGCCCGCTATCAGGCTAATCCACTGGTTGAGCCGTAGTTAAATGCGATAACACCGTCAGAAATCCCTCGTTGCAGTCTTACGATCATGACAGAGGAAGATCAGCGCTCCACTAGCGGCTGCCCGAGAGCGTATCTATGTAGGAAAGCAGCAGATTGCCTCTCCCGTGTTCCATCAACACTAAATATCTCCCCTTAAATACTACTGCAAGCTACCGGTCTACCTGGGGCAATCTGGCCGCTTCCATATAAGAATAAGACTCCAAGACCTCTCTCAAGGCCTCCTGAGACTGTGCTACATGCAACCTTCCGATGCCTCTCGTAGACACCAAATTAGTGGCCAAGTATACGCATTCCATGCTTTAGAGAGCCTCGTAACCAGATGGTTCTAGAACAGTAGCTAAAGCGTCTAAGCACCTGATCCATATCAGAGCACATATCTATACAGACAAACGCGCTCAACCCTCCAAACTGATTCGCTCGCTCTCCCTTCCGCTGCCCCTCCTAAGCACAGCCACAACCACATCCACATCCACCTCGGGCCACATACTCCCTCACGCATCCAGCCCATCCAGCTCAATCAACCGCCTACAAACTCCCACAACCTCACTCCCCCCCAGATCCATCTCCGGCTCCTCAATCTTCCTCGCCAGCACCTCATCAAGCAACATCCTCATCCTGGACACCAGAACCCCAATCCTCGCCCACCCCCTGAGCCTCAACCACCCATCCACAACCAACCCCCTCCCCTGCGTATCCAACCCAATCGGGCCGGAAAACAACAGCGCGCTGTACGCATTGAACGGCGTCAGATCCCGGATAAACACCTTGCTCGTCGCCATCTTCGTGAAGTAGCTCATGAAGCGCGCTCCGCCGGGAAAGGCCTGCGCGTCGAAGAGCGTCGAGCTGGGATGTACGAACACGCGCCCGTTGTCTTGGTTGAAGTATTTTATGGTCCGAGCTTCGGGGTCCAACGCTACGGCGCCGGAGACGGAGGCCGCGAATTTTTGGTCGGGGAGCTCGATGCGCGCGATTTGGGGGTTGAAGGCTCCAGCCACAAGGGCGCGGATTAGAGGAACGCTGGTGTTGTGGCGGTTGTACGAAGTTGGAGTGGAAGTGGGGGAGGGTGAGGTATAGGTCAGGGGCAGGAATCCGGTTTCTTTGAGAGAAGAGAGGTATTGGGCGCGGTTCGTGCTGATGTCCTGGAGGGTCTGGCTGGAGAGGAAGTTTTGCTCGCACCAGGCGCGCAGGTCGTGTCTGGAGACTCCTTTGGAGCGGAGGGCGGACCATTCAGTGTAGGCTGCTAGGTCGGCGATGAGGTCGCCTTGTCCGTTGCTGAAGGACGAGCGCGCGGCTTTCGATTCTTCGCGCTTGGCCTGGGGCGAAACGAAGGGGCTCCGGACAGTGAGGATCGAGGCGATGGTGAGGCAGGCTTCTAGACAGCCGAAGGTCGCGCCGTAGATAAGGAGCTTGCCGCATCTTAAATCCGCCGGTATGGTGGATAGATGCCGCCCCAGCGCTGTCATCTCCTCGCCATCAATGGCTCCCATGCGACCCAGCAGCTCTATTGCACCTTCAACAGCCAGGCTCTCCGGCGGAGTCAGTGCGCCGGCCAAGAAAGCAGCTACGTCTTTCACGCCCATAGCCTTCACGGACAGGCACAGCTGCTCAAGCGGCACCCTCCTAATCTCCGGCTCTGGCCGCTCCGCCATCTTCATCATCTCGGCATTGCGCGTGTACAGCTTGTAACACTTGCCTGCACGGACTCGTCCAGCTCGGCCGCGCCGCTGTTTGCAAGCCGCTCGTGAGGCCCAGACTTCTTCGAGCTTGACCATGTTATTCTGCGGGTCGAAGCTTGTCTCCTTGACGCGGCCGGTGTCGATAACCGCAACGATGTCTTCAATCGTGATTGAAGTTTCGGCTACATTTGTAGAAGCGATAACCTTGCGCATGCCCTTTGGAGCCGGGGGGAATACGCGGCGCTGTTCAGCCGGCAGCAGTGATGCGTGAAGTGGAAGGGCGTAGATATTTGGCATGCTCCTTAGAGCTTGTATTGTCCGGTCGATCTCCATCGTGCCGGGTAAGAAGATCAGAACTCCGCCGTCCTGGCTGCCCAGCTCTGCATCGATATATCTGACGGTTTGTGCGATGAGGTCGTAGTTGATCCTCATACCAACGCTTCTTAGTTTGCCTGCCATCGACGTCGGTGCCAAGCCCTCATCCCAGCCGCTCTCATCTTCATCCAGATCAGCACCTCGTCCACCGAAACCTGTCATGCGCACGACGTCGTCCATATAAAGATCCTCAACTGGATGTGTGCGGCCTTGTATCTCTATCCGGCCAACAGGTCCCACAGAGTCGAAGTACGCTGCGAAGACATCAGCGTCCAATGTAGCACTCATGAGTATGACCTTGAGGTCTCTTCTGGCTTTCAGCACATCGCGGAGGAGCACGAGTAGGAAGTCGGTGTCAAGCGACCTCTCATGCACCTCATCAACCACAACATGACTGACGTCCGCCAAAGAGGCGACGACATCTTCGGCGCTGCCTCCAGATGTCTGGAGACGGCGCAACAGGACGCCAGTGGTGACAAAAGAGATTTTGGTGACGCCTGACTTATGTCTAGATTCGCCGCGAATCGAATAGCCCACCTCTTCTCCAACTCTGGAACATCGCTCCTCCGCTACACGGTCGGCAAGACCTAGCGCAGAGATACGGCGGGGCTGGGTACAGACGATGTTGGCCGCCTCACCCAGCTGGCGCTGGATCAAGTTGTCAAGGATGAACTGAACGGACTGAGTCGATTTGCCCGAGCCAGTCTCGCCTGATATGATAGTTACTTGGTGATTGTTGACTGCATGGACGATGGCCTCTTGTAGTCTCCACGCTGGAAGAGATTGCCGTACGCGCATCATATTTTGTTGGGCTGGGGTGCTTTGTTTGGCTTGCCATTCACGCAGCATGCGATTGCTGATGTCTGTCCCGGGTCGCCAATTGACAGGTCTCAAATACCGGTTCCGACGGCCTTTTTGACGGGAGCCATCCGTTGTTGCGTTGGTATCTGCGGCGGCAACCGCGGTCGCTACGTCGCTCAGCCTTCCAGGGTTCTCCAAAATGCCAGGTATTCCGTGCTCCAGCCAGTCCACCAAGTTGAAAATCATCTGCTCGCCTAGAAAGTTTTCTTGTGCATATAGTAGCGCGCGCTTAATGATGCTTAGTCGTATATAGGCTGGTATGGTTGCATGCACTGCCATGATAGGCACAGCATTAGGATAAGGTCCTGGAGGCTTACGCAGGAGCAAGGTAAAAGCCTTATCAGTAGGGGGTACAATTTCGAGCTTAATCTGACAGGTATCAGATGTTGTCCCGAGTCTGTCGCCGTAGATAGCTGTAAGAACATCCTGTTCCTCCTTCCAAGCATCAATAGAATCGGCGGTTGCTTCCTGGGCGCCGTCAATGTGCACTGGATTGCCTTCGAGTAGGCGCGCTTGCAGCAAAGCCGCGGCTTTTCCTTCGTCTCCGTTGCAGGAGTCGAGCGTCTCTTCACACAGTTCCAGCGCATAGCCTGCAGCAGCTAAACGTTGGATGGCCGCCTGGCGCTTAAGATCGTGACTAGCCATGCTAATGCCGGCTGTATAGCCTTCGGGGAGACACCACTGCGGCAAGTCGTCTTCCGGCACATGTATGAGAAGCCACTCAAGGACCTCTTCGCGGTCTTTGCATGTGTCCGCAGCTTCTTCAACGTGACTACGGCGAAAGCCAAGACCCGTGACCTCGTCAATGATGTGTGCTCTTTGGGCTCGGCTCAAGTGGACATCATGCGGATTCCATACAGCATGAGTCCTGATCATCCGTTCGACCTGCGCGCGTGTCCGCTTGCCCATCTCGACCTTCGGTACCCTTGTCCAGCCCTTCATGCGGTTGCCGCTGTTTCCAGCAAGATGCGCACCCCCAGGACCAGGACCGGTGGAACCAGCACTCTTTTCCGCCTCTCTTTGCGCCGCCGCCGCTTGTCTCTTCTTCTCGGCATTGGCGAGGGCCTCTTCTCGTTCTTTTTGCGCAACGAACGGATCGGCTTCGTACATCCAGCCCATGCCTGCTGCTACATCTTGCTTCTTCATATCTTGAAACTCGCCCTTCCACAGGTCCCGGTATGTAGGCGGCATCATCATGTGGATGTTCCGCATGTTACAGACACGAAATAGCGCATAAGCGGCCGCGAAGTGGCGGGCTTCGACAGCTGTAGGCTGGGCCGCCGCACTCTTGAGTTGGGGTGGCACCTTAAATGGTGGGAGCGTAATCGTCTCTTTCGTCTTAGGATTTACTGTCCTTAGAATGACATTGGAAATGAATCCCTCTGGCGTTTTGTGCTATTATCTTTTTAGCGATGAACTCCCTCTTAGCTTATATCCTCAAGACACGTACCATAGTATATTCCGGCTTGTCCCATTTCATTTTCTGACAGTGCTCGCTGAGCATGTTTACAGGCAACTTTCCGGTCCATGATGCGCCGCCAATCAAGGTCCGGGTATCAGGCTTCTTGGGCGCATCTTCAGCTGGTACCGCTGGTTCTTTGCCTTTGACCTTGCTCTTTTCATCTGCCGTGGTGTTTCCTGAGGCTGTTTTGGCTCCCTTGCCTTTCTTTGATTCACCTTTCGCGTTCGAGAAGACGATAAAGCTGGTGTCATCGCCGTCTGCGGGCGGAGGTGCGGTTTTCTTCGACCCTGCACGGGGCGCATGGGGCTTGTTTGGCATCGTCCAAGCGCTTCGTCGGTCTGGAGGTGTTGGTGCAAAGGATCCATGGTGTTGTCAGTGAAAGAAATGTCGTTTAAACGGCGCATGTGGAAGCGACGGAGAAATCGATAGGGCTGAATTAAGCTTCCTTGCACGACTGCCGACCCGGAAGATCGTTGCGTCACTGGCCCTCGCAGCTTTACCTGGCTCGTGCCTGACATCTTACCTACATTCTTAGACAGGAACAGCTGGTGCTCTTGGTATCAACATTGCACACGGCGGACATAGAACCTTGAACAGAGTAAATTTACCTCGACCGACGGGCAATCACGCGCTTTGTACCCGGTGCAAGTCATCCGAAAATCGTGACCTCCCCTTTTTAATCACGTTATTAAAGCGGCTCAGATATCGTCTCGAATCTGATCATAGCACGTAACCTAAGGCCTCGATCTTGTTAGTATAGACCAGACCACCTTCCGGCCTTCTGTCCAAGATGTCTAGTCAACAAAGACCTGGAGAGCATGGAGAAGACGCAATCACTGAAGAAGAGATGGCCGGCACAACAATGCCCGCGCCAGCAGCAGAGCCATCCAAGCGGCCGAATGCTTGTAGGCTCATCATTTTCCTTGGACGACTATGATCCTGACTGTTATTGACAGTCACAGAACTCATGGCCCCCAAGAAGCCCAAACCTCCAACCCACACAACCGCCGCACCTAAGCCCCATTCTAGAGCCCCCGTCTTCGCCGGCCGTGATGGCTTGGGCGCCTATACCGCCTCCCCTCAATCCTACGGCCCTGACCGTATTGTCTACCACAACGAGCACTTCGTCGTGATAAACGACCTCTATCCCAAATCTTCTGTGCACCTGCTACTGCTCTCACGCAATACCCGAAAGCAGCTCCTACACCCCTTCGACGCCTTCGAAGACGCTGCCTTCCTAGCCGCCTGCCGCGCCGAAGCCGCTAAAGTCAAAAAGCTCGTCGCCGCCGAGCTACGCCGCAAACACGGCGCGTATTCCGCGAGTGAGAAGGCGCGGCGCGACGCCATGGACGCCAACGACCCTCCAGACACCGACGGCCTGCCTGCGGGACGCGACTGGGAGAGTGAGGTCAAGACTGGTGTGCATGCTCATCCGTCGATGGACCATCTGCACGTTCATGTGCTGGCGCGGGATATGCACAGTCCGTGTATGCGGCACAGGAAGCATTACAATAGCTTCAACACGCCGTTTTTGGTGCCGTTGGAGGACTTGCCGCTTGCGCCGAACGATGTGCGTAGGCATGCGAGGTACCTGGATGAGGACCTGGTGTGTTGGCGGTGTGGGAGGAATTTCGGGAAGAGTTTTGCGAAGCTGAAGGAGCACCTTGAAGGGGAGTTCGAGGCGTGGAGGAAGGAGTAGGGAAGTCTCTGGTGGTTATGGAGCTTTGACTGCTGTGTCGAGGAGCTCGATCCGCAGCTGTTGCTGCTCCCTTTGGTCGGAGCTTGACTGGCACCTGTTGTTCGACCCACAGCCAGTACTACAAGATCCACAAGAGCGGAGAAGTACACTATTAAGATACAAGAAACTTCTACAGACACGATAAGCCGATTTATCCCCTTTGCCTACTGTTCAGTACTCGAACCGCGTCCCGCGCATTCACGGCGTCCAAATAGCCTCGTAGAGGTTGTACATTGTCCCCCCAACCCTCCAGGCTTTTCGGCATTTCAATCCTTCATCCGCCCGTTCGAACAGCCTAGACATCTCCTCCCGGGTCCTCTCTCCCGCATTAAGCAGCGACATCATCATCAGATCCATCGCCAGCACCTCGTTATACTCCACCTCCGACACGGTCCCCCTCTCCGTAAGAGCGCGCTCTAGAATGAGCACCCTCGCGCCGGCCTTCAAGGCAGGAACGAGCGTCCTAAGCACATCAACGGCATACTTATCCGACCAGTTATGGAAAACCTTGGCGAAGAGAAGAGCATCCGCCCCATGAACAGACTGCGGCTTGAAAGAATCATGTGCCATGAACCTCACCCGGTCCCTGAGCTCCTCCGGCACCCCCTTCTCGCCCTCCAACACCACCCCCGGCAAATCCTGCACCACAAACCGCAGCCCCAGACGCGCCCTCGCCAGCGCAAAAGTCACACGCCCGTTCCCCCCCCCC